TAGTTATGCTTAATATATGTCAGGATTATAACTATATTTCCAATTTAAACATGAAAATGCAACTAATATATTACACAAATAATATAGTTTATGGATGTGCCTTCTTTGGTAAATTCTAAGACTTGCATATGGAAAAAATGTAAGTGTAGAATTTCATCAAAATATTTGAAAAAGGGAAGCATGAAACTAAACATATTATTTTTAAAAATCTTATGTATTATGAAGTCCAATCTGTGTAATACTTTTGGTTTTTAAAAAAAAACAGAGCACTGAACACATACAAATAAAGATATAAATATAGAGATAGACATAGATATACATATAAGCATTTTCATTCAAGAAAAATTTGTTCTGTTCAGTATGAATACGTAGCCTACTAGACATGGTCAAACAGCCTATAATAGATATCATTAAGCTTATTCATTCAAATTTTTCCTCTAGAATATATTTATATAAGAGAATGTCTAGCTCAGCACGAAAGGAAAAGTCGCAAAAAACAATTGCAAATGAGATTATGTAAGTAATATGCAAATGAAGGAAGGTCACACTAAACAGGAAACTGATATATTCAAAAGGATTTCCTTCTATCCTATTGACTTCCTAAAGAGTCATTTTTTATTTCCTGGAGAAGAAAATGGAATAAAATTTCTGCCACTGCTTAAAAGATCAAGAAGCAATTACACATCTGTAGTGTGTGAACCCATCCCAGCTATGTTTCTGACACCTTAATCTTCATGAATCAACATTTTTCCTTGGTAATTCAAATCCAGATCACGGGGACCAACAAAGATACCTTTTGTTGGTGCAGTCCTTGGTCACATTATAAAATATCTGCGCTTTTAAGACATAATTGTATATACATCATTATCATCATAAGGTCCATTTGCATTTCTCATTCCTGGCTCTGCAGAGCTTGAGCCAATGAGAAATAGTTATAATTATAATCTCAAGTCAGCAGTTTTGGAGTTTTAAAATCACTGCATCCATTTTAACTCACTTTCTAGAACTAGTTTATCTCTCCCATCCAAGATTTGGTTTAGCTTTCTCTTCCTCATACAATTCCATTTATACAACTTCATTCTGCCTGCCACACTTTAAAACTTTGCAAAAGGAATTCAAGATTTCAAATCTTTCTTTTGTTTTTTGAAAAGACTGTATGCTATATCTTTCTGCAGCCTATTTAACATTGCTATATAGTAGTATATCAAATTAAATCAGGTACTTTAAGGAAAAAACCCCAAAGTTTTCGTATTTATGAAATAAGATATAATATTTTTTTGATATGGACCTATGATATTTATTTATTTATTTATTAAATTTATATGTGTACAGCATTTAGTTGAAGGAATGTCTTTGGTAATTTGATATTTGATATTGTGATTTGGTTCATACAATGGTAAGTTATATATATTGTGCTTCCATGTTTCAGTATTTTGTGGAAACCAAACCACTACGATTTTTTCCCTCAACTAGATTTTATTTGGTTTAACACTGTTCCTAACACAGACCAGTGATTCATAAAAGAATATTCAGATGTGAATTTAAACCAAGTGGCTGCTAATTGAAGCTAAGGTTCAGCACCAGACAATAGAGAATGCTATGGCAGTTGATCAACAATTTGTCTGATTTGTGCCACTTCTGCACTGTTTGCCAATCATTCCTTGTTTGTTTTTAAACACACTGCACTGAGTTGCACACAGTGGTGTAGTTTGTTGAGTTTTAGTTTAGCATAATATGTGATCACCTAAACTACTGCAGTTTCTTTCAGCAAAACTTATTTTTAGCAGTGGTTCTCAACCTTTTTAATGCCGCGACCCCCAACCGGTCGTAAGTCGAGGACTAAACCGGTCGTAAGTCGAGGACTAAACTGGTCGTAAGTCGAGGACTAAACCGGTCGTAAGTCGAGGACTACCCAACCGGTCATAAGTCGAGGACTTTCCCTGCCCGAGAGCGCCGCACATGCGTGGTTCCGCCCCCTGCGCCGGCCGAGGCGTAGCTGGCAAGCGGCAGAGATGGAGCAGGCCGACCACCAGCTGGCCCAGCTCAATGGAGGTAAGGCACCCGCTGGAAAAGGGGAAAAAAATGGCAGACAGCTTTGCTTGGCGACCCCCGTGAAATGGTCGATCGACCCCAAATGGGGTCGCGACCCATAGGTTGAGAACCGCTGGTTTATAGCTTAATG